GTGTAGGGGGCCCACAGGAACGTTTACGTTCCAGGCTAGACGTTCGTAGATTAGACCATCGGGCTCTACAAGAGTTCACAGCGCACTGACAGAGCAGACGGAACACACTCATCACGCACGAAAACCAAAAGTCCAGGCAGACGTCGAGTACGACGGTCATTCTTTTTCATAGTGCCTTCATCGATCTACACCTATCTACTTCTGACACTACGTCTACTCCGCTACATCTTCCGTCCTTCTTACTCTTAAACGTAGTGATACTTGATCGTGATGCGGGGAACGCACATAGCCTTGTATGACATGGGAGCAGTGAAAGGAGCAACGTAAACTGGAGATGTAGGCTGAGCGGGAAGAGCGGCGACACTGGAGGAAGCAGCAACGCCAGGGTAACCACCAGCGCCAGAGTAAGCGGCAGCACCAGAGGGAGCAGCAGCGCCAGAGGAAGCAGCAGCGCCGGAAGAAGCAGCAACGCCGGAGGAAGCAGCAGCGCTCGAGGAAGCAGCAGCGCTCGAAGATGCAACAGCACTCGAAGATGCAACAGCGGCAACGCGAACAGACGAGGCGACGGCAGAAGAAGAAGCGCTGGGCGTAGGTGTGGGAGCGGCACATAGAGGGGCGGCGGCATTGAGCTTTCCAACGGCCCAGTTCGAGGCGTCTTCGGTGTACTTCTCAAAGTAGCTCAGGTGCTTCTCGACGTCGTCGCCGTTGGCGCAGATCGGGTCTCCCTTAGAGCAGTAAGAGCGCAGGACGGGTGCGAAGCGGTTCAGGCGCGCAAGAGAGGTGGCGTCGCGACCATTCTTCTGTAGATCAGAGCCGTCGAGAACGTTGTATGGCATGTTAGCCTCGTGCTTGACATCGCCCCAGAGGAGAGCAGCAGCGACTAAGTTACCACGTTAGCACAGTCCAAGGTTCGAGTGTGTCATGTCAAGGATACTTACTAGCGTTACCAGGAGCCGCGGCAGGGTCGAGACCAGTGGTGATCTGCGAGCATCCACCAGGTCCAGCAAGGACATCTCCCATGATCCAGGCACCCTGAGAGAAGCCATTGAGGATGAGGTGCGTGCACGGGCACTTCTTGTTGAAAGCAGTGATCTGGTCAAGACCGTTGCGGACTCCCTCGCCAATTTGTTTGCAGTAGTCGCCGCCGTACGGGAACACGACCTCAATGTAGTCGCAAGTCTTGCCCTCAGCCCTTAGCTTGGCGCACGTAGCGTCGGCGAAGGGGAATGTACGGTAGTCATGGTACGGCGCAGTGTTACCGCGGGCCATGAAGATAACGGCATCGGCGCAGGGGGCGTCGAGCTTGGGGGGTGGGGAGTTTGGGTCTTGAGCGACGGCGACGGCGGCGGCAGCGCTGAGCGCGAAGACGGTGCGGATGATCGAAGACATTATTAAAGATTAAAGAGTGTGGTATTAATTGGTTTTTTTAAAACGAGTGTAATGGTTGGATTGCGAGGTTGAAAGACCTGTGAGGAGAAGGAAAGTCTTCTTGGCTCCGGGGGAACAGTTTAATAGGAGCGTTCATCTTGCATTTCTGCCGAACTGGGCGTCGTGTCGGCTCGAACGGGCGGAAAAGGGATACGAGTTGGATCCCTTTTTGGCTGAGCTATCTACCTCGGGTCGTGCGCTAGCAGGAGCGCGGACAAACGTCGTATTATTGAGATTGATGCTGACCATGAGGTTTTGGAGGATGGCCCAGGTGCCGGACGTCCCCTTGATGAATACCTAGGTACCGTCAAACTCTGCCATCTTTGCGAAATGGGTCACCGGGACATCTGAGACGTTGCTGTTGATGTTTGCATTGAAGCTAACTTTTAGTTCATGGGATGAAGCAGGGTCCAAGAAATTTGCTAGCGTGTGTGTCAATGCTTGAGCGATCCTCCATATACGAACCCCTGAGCTTGTCTAAGATAAGAGTTCGTGCACGTCCCTTGGACCAACCCGAAATGTCTTAGCTCTCACCGGAACCCGTGGACTCCTCGAGGGCTGCCGTGCCTCATGCCAAACATTCGACAATCTAGATGCACTTTGCTTGTTGGATGCAATCAAGTTTCACAACTCCACTTGTGCCAGTCTGGCGCTACGCCCATCGCAGCGAGGAAAAAGTCAAGACATTGTGCATTGCGAGTACACTACAAACCTTTACCCCAGTCGAGATGCGCAAGAGAGCCTGGACATACCAAAAGGCATAAACTGAGCAGACGCGTCGTTTCCTTCCTCGATGAATGGGTCTGCTGGCAGTGTGAGTGCGCTGTCAGGGACTTGGATGTTCTCCAGCCACAAAAGAGCCCCGGATCTGCCGTTGTGGCCCCACATGTGCACCTATGTCGAGTATCCTTCAACGAGTTCCTACGTCCACTTCGGTAGGGCTCAGTCTTTATGCAGACTTGATATGCCCTTGCAACGGTCGGGAACTTTCTCATCAACAATACAGTTTATCCGCTTGCACGGGTGTCTTACGCCGTCTTTCTCCAGTATTCACAGATCGCCACGACAATACCAAGATTAGGTACTTCCATCTTGGGCCTGGTGTAATTGACAGTGCTTTGTTGATCCCCGAAGCTTTGGCCCTGCCGTGGGTCTCGGCAAGCCTGTAGGATTTGGAAGATTGCACAAGACTGTCGAGTGGGAATATCCACCTCCTGCCCGAGATCAGTAATACTTGACAGACAAGTGGTCGTATCGGATGAACGGTCAATGAGCGTGTCAGTCCAACGGTCCCGAGTTGACTTATCAGCGAAGCCAATTCGACTGAATCCCGTGTCGGCTCGTGTAGCTGTCGCATGTTTTCTTCCAGAAGTCACACTGGAAATTCTCCACCGACCATATCGGAGATCGCATTTCGGGTTCCTGAACTGTTATGCAAATCTAGTTTGACTTAGAAACCTCTAACTAATATGCCCAAGATAGTCGTTCCCCGGGACCATATGTCAAGATACTCTAGTCTGCTGCGCTTGACAGGAGAGATAGCGTGCAAGCGGGGCGAGGCAATAGAGCTTATCGCTATTTCGCAGGGCAGTACAACCGGGAAGAGATAGCTGGCTGGTTCATGGAGAAAGTGTTTGAGAGAAGCACGTATCGATACCATCGGCCGTTGCATGCCTCGTACGAGTCCAGCGTGGTGGATTAATAGTTCAGATAACTTAGGTGAATTCGATGAACACAACTACCAAGTCGATGCACCGGAGGGACATGACGCGAACCTCAAGGTGCCAGCAGCTGGTTACGAAGATAACCAGAAATGCAAGCACTACAACGTACTTTGGGTTCAAAGAGGTGACGAGGACGTTGCATAAAGGGCCGGCTGTGGGCATATTTCTAGACAACAAGCCAGAAGAGACTAGGAATGTAACAGGTTGATAAATATACTTTGGCGATAGCCTCTGAGACATGTTGCGATCAGAGCCTGTCGTTTACTTCTGTCTTGGTACCGTAGGATGCGAAAGACCTAGGAAGAAAGCCTGTCGTGATGTACCTTGGAAGCAGCTGCATCAACCTCGACGAATTGTAGACGCTGTTTCTATGCATTGAAAGTTGAACAAATGGTGGTTTAATGCGTATGATCAAGCTACAGCTACTCCGACAACACAAATTTGACGCCCTCAGCCAAGTCGCCATAGAACTGCTTCCTCGGCTCATCGAGCTTGGGCGAAGGCCAGGCGAAGAAAAAATGTGGATAGCCATCGTAGTAGTCGAGTTTGACAGGTACCCTGTAGTCACGTCAGCAATAGTAAAGCAACGAAACAGAAGACCTACTGCGCATCATCGAGCATACGCTTCATAAGCATGCCGTCATCTTTCAATGTATCTTGGCCCGCAACAGCCAGGTAGACCTTCTTCAGGTGTTTGGTTCCTGGGTGAAGGAGCGGCGATCCGTATATATCTGTTGGTGGTGCACCGAAGGCAGCCCAAAAGTCTCGCATCGCCCCCGAAGTGTTGATGGTGTGCTGATCATGCTCGTCCATTGATGTATAACTAGTCCGGAGTGCCTCGGGAACACCATCTGGGTGGACAGTCGCAGGTATAATTCCAACAACACCAACAAGTTCGCCCGACTTCTCGTCCTGGCCTCTCAGCGCAGTTGCGAAAGCTAGTTGGCCTCCGGCGGAGACTCCCGCAGTGAGGTATCTACCCTCAGCGGTGTTGAGTCGCTTCGAATTTGCTAACGCCCACACCAAAGCCTTGTAGCACTCATTCATCAACCCGGGATGCTTGTTGTCCAGTGCGAGTCCATATTCAACAGATACAACCACTATGCCGCCGGCTTTTGAGATTGCTCTGCTGAATGGGTCGTCGCCGTTGACGTCGCCCATAGCCCAGCCACCACCATGATAGTACATGCACACTGGCTTGCCACCGGTGTACCCATCAGGTGTGTATATGCGCACTTTGGTCCCGTCGTCGGTGACTGTGTCCTCGGTCTTCACGGAAGGGTCGGGCGCGGGGAAGGTGTATTTCGAAGCCATGAGGCCACCGTATCGCATGAATTGCTCAGTCATATTCGAAACCGGCGGCTTCAGGAGCATGCGCTCGCCGAACTCTTCTTCGAACTACGCGACCCATTAGAACAAGCTGATGCATGTAAATCCACTCGACATACCTCCAACCATGGTTTCGCGAATCCCTCGTTAGCCATGTTGCCCTAGATTGATGTGTAAATAGTGAAGCAACTGCCCCATCTCGGAAGCCATGCTGTATAAAGCCCGACGCCTCCAACAACGGTTGGCGTCATGTCGTGTTGCTCATCTCGACTCACGTCTACGCGGAAAGACGTCAGGGGTCCAAGCTCCCCATTCGTCGCCTTTGCCTTCCCCACGCGTAAAGACATCCGGCTCCCCCGCCAAAACAACATCGCCTCGGCTGGCCTGCATATCGCGACGCGTCGGCATCGACCCTGCGGCGAGTCATGTCTGCTATATGCACGCGTAGACATTTGATTCTGGAGTTCGATCATCTTCACTTACCTCCACAGCATTACTCATGACCTAGGAATCTCCAAGATGGTCTCGAACATCGACATCAACAGCAGCCCAGCGTTCTCGCGCATACCGCCGTGGGTGAAAGCGAAACTTCGTCCCATCGCAATTGAGAAGATCCAGCAGGTATACGATTGGGTCGAGACCGAGTGCATACCAGCTGAGCGCATCTACAAAGCCCAACTCAAGGAGAGCAAGACGCGATGGGAGACACCAGCCATCATCCACGATCTACGAAAGAAGGCAAAGGCGCAAGGATTATGGAATCTGTTCCTACCAAATCACTTTGTCGAGAGTCCAGGCCTCACCAACCTGGAGTACTCGTGTTGCGCTGAGATTATGGGGAGAGTGTACTGGGCAGCGCAGGTAAACTTGTCCAGGTTCGAAGCACCCTGAACTTCTTCTGACACCTCTCCAGACAATGAACTGCCATGCTCCCGAGACCGGCAACATCGAACTCCTCGCCAAATACTGCACACCGGAGCAGAAGAAGAAATGGCTTCACCCCCTCATGAACGGCGACATGTCCTCCGCATACAGCATGACCGAGCCCGACGTCGCCTCGTCTGACGCAACCCAAGTCGGCATAAAGATGGAAATCACGGACAAAGAAGTCATCATAAACGGACGCAAGCTATACGGCAACTGCCAGTACAACCCAGAGATGCAGCTCTTCATCTTGATGGGCTGTTCAGATCCCACGAACGCGAACGCCTGGAGTAGACACACAACGCTGGTAGTACCTGCGAACAGTCCCGGGCTGAAGCAAGTGAGGAACCTGACCATCATGGGCTATGATTGGGCACCCGAAGGACACGGCGAATACATCTACGAGAACGTGCGTGTGCCGCGCGAGAACATCATCCTCGGTCCTGGTCGCGCGTTCGAGATAGCGCAAGGGCGACTGGGGCCAGGCCGTATACACCACTGCATGCGCTTAATTGGGCAGGCAGAACGTGCCTTCGAACTCGCGCTCGTCCGCTGCATGGAGCCGCGCAAGAAGCCACGAGGCAAGTTCATCGGCGAGTTCGACAGCAACATCGAACGCATAGCAGATATGCGCATGACTATCGATGCTATGCGACTTGTTGTGCTCAATGCGGCAGATACCATGGATCTTCAAGGTAACAAGGCAGGCAAATACGCCATTGCGCAGAGCAAGATCATGGTGCCGAATGCGCTGCTCAAAGTCATCGATGAGGCTATGCAGATATATGGCGGCCAGGGCTTGACGCAACATACGCCATTACCGGAGCTGTGGACGTATGCTCGTTTCGTGAGGGTGGCTGATGGTCCCGATTCAGCTCATCGACATCAAGTTGGGAGAGATCAGATGAAGACCGCGCAAGGGTTTAGGAAGAGGGCGGAGGGGTACACGGAGAGGTATAGAGAGCTGTGTAAGAAATGGGGGTTGGAGCCAGAAGAGTTCTGGGGTATTCTGTAGTAGCTGCATGTGCTTATTCTGCGTACAAACGAAAGCAATAATATCCATATCTATGCCTATCCCAGGATGTGCACTCGTGACCTTCAAGTATCGTGTTCCATGAACCTTCGGAGGAATGCCATCACGGAGCACATGGAGGTTCATTAACTGCGTATCTATGTATTCATCTAGCAAAAGTAATCGAAAGGGGTATCAAATCCAAGACCCCAACTCCATAAGCAACGTCTCTCATCTTTTCGTATCCTAATTCGTCATCATACCGCGATGGGCGGCGATCCAAAGCTCATATTATCGTCATCATCGAAGAATGAAGCTACTTCCTGCGTGGACATGAAAAACTCTTCAAAAGACGCGCTTGGTCCCGATACCACAGCAGGGGACGTCGTGTGAGTTATTGGTACGCACTGCCTCTTTACTGGAGGTACTGGGTTCTTCGAAAGTATCGGCGAAGCTTTCCTCTTTGCATTAGGGCCAGACATGGACATGGGCAGCTGAGAAGCTCTGAGCTTAGCAAGTTCAGCCTCAAGTCCCGATGCAAAGGGACCTGGGTTGACACATTTGCCAGCTACCTTCTTGGACAATGATAATGGTCTGCTCGAGTTCGCAGTCGCAGAAGGACGTGATGAGAACTCGGTGGGTGTTGGGAGGCTATTCATCCGCATGTGAGGCATCAACGGGTTCGTCAGCTGCGGGGCGAGAGGCAGAGACGTCGGCTGTGGTGAGGGTCGAGTAATATTTGAGTGTCCCTGGAGCGGCGCAGAAGCTATGCTAGGCAGATTATGCTGTACAATAGGAGCAGATCCGCATTTTGTTTCCTTTTCTTCCGGCTCTTCATCGAGATCATCTAGAGAAAAGTCGAAGTCTTGGGTCGAAATGGGGGGAAGCGTATCAATAGACGCAGGCGATACGATCGCTGGGGGTTTGACTGGCTCTTCTACCGTCGGGACTACTTCTGAAGCCAGCTCTCGCGAGATCTGCGTGCTACTTTCGAGAAAGTCATCCCAACAGTCAGTGGGTGGTAGTGATATGTACTGGCTTTGCTTCGCGACTGATGTAGGTATGATTGTGACGGAAGAGCTTGATTTTGATGCTGGGAGTCCAGGAAGTTTAAAGTCTGGATTCTTATTTGCAGGAGGCTTTGCTTTGACAACAGGAAGGATCGGTTTCTTGAATGAAACGGCAGGCGGCACACGACCAGGTATAGAGGGCAGCTTAAACCCTGTTTGTGATGTGTCTCGTGGCGTGCTGGATGGTGTATAGTCTACGGCTACACGGATGGGAAACTGCGTCCGCTGAAAGGGATGCTGGTCCAGATTCTTGTACTTTGCAATAAACGGAACCCGAGTCAGGAAAGTCTTAGTTCCCTGCAGCTGCCCATCCAGAACCAAGCACTCCAGTCGATCGTTCTCGCACCTGAGGACTCGCAAGTGCTGGCTCTTGGACAGTTGACTGCTTGTGTTGAGATCCCGGAGCAGCATCACAACGCAGCCAACTTTGATGCGCAGTCGATGTGGAGGCAGACCCACTGGATTTAGCTTATGCAACAGCCCGAGTGACGGGTCCCAGTCTGGCGTCTTGAGCGAAAGATCTTGTGACAGCATTTCGAGCAGAGGCTCAGGCAATTTCTCCAAGACAGCCTCAATCGCCTTGTTTATGGGGCCGTGGGTCCGGGCGAACTCGCGGTCGTCTTTGACAGCAACTGGTCTCGGGGAAGGGGTCGGCGCGGCGGGTGGGGCAGGTTCGATCGGAGCGACAGGCGCAGGAGGTGGCAGCACGACAGCTTGTGGCTCCTCTACTGGATCCGACATGACCATATCGTGTGCTTCGAGTAGCGTATCGTCGTCGAGATCGTCGTCAGGCCATTGTTCTCCAAACGACACATTCGCGCTGGGCAGCTCGAGGCCCAGGTCCTCATCGTCGTCGTCCCATGGCTCCTTCTCAATCTCTTCAACCATCTCCTCCATCTTTTTGGTAAGCTCCAAGTCCTTCTTGCGCTTCTCCTCGTCTTTCTTCTTCTTCAGCCCCAGGAATGCCTCCATGCCATTCTTCAACTGCGCCTGTGTGTGACTGTATCCAACCAGCTGTGTCGCAAGGCCAACGCCAATCTGCTGCCTCGCCTTCTCCTCCTTGGCCTCCCTCTCTTCGCGCTTCTTCTTGGCTGCTTTGCGGCGTTCTTCGGCTTCGCGTGCGCGGGAGGCGCGTTGTTCTAGTTCGAAGTCGCGTTCGAGCTGCTTCTGCTGGCGCTCGTTGAGGCGAGGGCCATGTTTCTTGTGTTGCTTCTTGAGTTCGGTCGAAGTTTGCGCGATTCGGTAAGGTGTGGGGGGCATGGCGGACGGCGCATCGCGAGGAGGGGTGTGGGTGGATGCAGGGCCTGAACCGTGGTGGCGAAGGATGCAAACCGTGGAACCGCGCTAGAACACGCAAACACGTGCCCAGATGACGTAGAACAACACGCCATCCGTGCATCACGATCCGCCTCGCAAGACTTGTACCACTGCTCACCACCATTAGCGCCCGTTTGCTTCCTTGCAACGGTACTCGCGACGGCTTCTAGCAGTAATGGCTCCGTCTTGGCAAGCATGCTGAAGGTGGTTGACGGCGACCGATCGAGGCCATCGTGCCTTCCTGGCATCTTGTCGTGTTGCCACACAATGGTCGCATCCTACATGAGCTGGACTTGCAATTCTCGCAGCATGCGACCAAGCTCAGGTGCAACGTAGAAGGTCTTCGCATCGTAGAGCAGACATGACTCGGTTGTGTTTCCCTCCACGAGCAGGAAAACCGCAACCGATGCAGAGCGTAGCCCCGCCCAAGAACCGCCTCTACAGCATCAGCCTTCCACACTTCCCCTGACGGTGCATATGCAGGGCACAGGTCATCGCCGATAGTTCTTGAATCGTAACATTGGGCTAATAGCAACAGTCGCACCAACATTGTTCACGAGCAAGGTTCCGCGGACCTGACATTCGATAGCTGGATACCCAGGAAGGGCTCGCAATTCATACACTGCACCCAAGAACATGGCTTTTACACTGAAAGGAGTGGCATACATTACCGGTGCTGGGTCTGGTATGCATGATCAGACTGTGTAGCAGTTACAAGCAATGAGCTAACATGTCGTTAGGCATTGGCCAATACACTGCATACGCTCTTGCGAAACAGGGTGTACGCTCATTCGCCCTGCTGGATCGCAATCCCCTCATCAAAACCGTTAGCGAACTCCGTAAACTCTCATCCGACTGTTCTATCAAGACATTCGAGATCGATGTCACCAACGAGAAAGCTGTCGATGACAGTATAGAGAAGACGGTCAAGGAGTTCGGACGACTAGACTATGCTGTGAACAATGCCGGCATCGGTGGCATGATCAAAACGACAGATCAGATCCCGAAAGACGACTTCGAGAAGGTCATGTCTATCAACACCATCGCTGTTTGGCAATGCCAACGTGCACAGATTCGACAGATGCTCAAACAGGAAAAGCTCTCGGACTCATATCGGTCATATCGAGGTTCTATCGTTAACGTCGCATCCATGTATGGTCTGGTAGCACCGCCGCTCAACGTTCCCGCCACAGCATACGCTACCTCAAAGCACGCTGTTATTGGCCTTACAAAGTCAGATGCGCTCGCTTTCGCGCACAAGGGTATCCGGATCAACGCAATTTCGCCGGGATATGTAATGACGCCTTTGGTACAAGAGCACATGGGTCAGGGTGAAATGATGGAAACTGAAAGGAAAAAGGTCCCTGTTCACCGCTATTCGGAGATGGAGGAAATCGGCGACTGTATTGCCTTCTTACACTCAGACGCGGCGAGCTACATGATCGGCGCCACATTAGTCGCGGACGGAGGATACACAATTGTCTAAACCTTTGTACTAGCCCAGCGCCTTGATAATTCGACATTTCCTTTACACGCTTGCTACGATACATAGTCAATTCGTCAAACATAGGCAATTATGTTGATTACATCGGTCGCATCTCGGTAGAGGTTCTCCACCCCATCGCTCCACCCCGATCCCCGCAAATTGGGAGACGCAACCTCCGTATCCGAAAAAGGATCTCGACTGCCCCAAGCATTTGTACGATTGGTTAATCGACCTTCCATCGGCTCTATCACGATTACGCGACCTCGAAGCCCCAGATTTTACGTCTGTGCAACGTTCGGAAATGCTTTGCCAGACGGAAAGTCATGAATAGCCTCTTCAACAGTTTACCCACATCACGAATCGTCACCATATCTCGAGACCCCAACCCTGCTCCAACTCACTTAGCGTGACCCCAGATCTCAGCGTACACTAAATTGACTCGCTACGTGGAGTCATTTGGCCAGCACCTGACTCTCCATGACTGAGCAGTCGCGGCGCAAACATGCCGCAAACAAAGTTTAAGAACGGTGAAGGCCTCGGAGTGGTCGCAGCGTTGCCTTAAGATCCAGCTCCAACTTTGTCTTGCGACTTGCCTTCCTCATTAGTTATTTACCCTTCACAATGGCAGACGGATTTATCGTCCCATCAACGGCTGCGCCAGAGACTGATGCTCAGCACCGGTTGCGTGGGCCCATCCATGCGCAACGCCATGTACGCATCGTGTGTATTGGCGCAGGTGCTTCAGGACTTCTGATGGCATACAAACTGCAAAAGCACTTCACAAATTACAGCCTTCAAGTTTACGAGAAGAATTCCGAAGTTTCGGGCACATGGTTCGAGAACAGATATCCGGGGTAGGTGAAGATCATATTGATTGCTGCGGGGCTTGATGCACCTTTCGCCCCGCGATCTACCGAAGCGACTGCAACGAAGCGGCGCAGTCGACCAACCTCGCTAACATCCGCTTCTAGATGCGCATGCGATGTTCCCTCCCACAACTACACGTGGTCATTCGAGCCCAAATTAGACTGGTCCGCTGTATACGCCAGCTCCAAAGAGATCTTCGCCTATTTCAACGATTTCGCCCGCAAGTACGGTCTACGCAAATACATCAAGACGCAACACCAAGTCGCTGGCGCAATTTGGAACAAGCAAAGGGGCGGATATGATGTGCAGGTCAAAGACCTGGAGAGTGGCCAGACCGTCAACGATCATTGCGACATCTTGATCAATGCAGGCGGCATCTTGAACAACTGGCAATGGCCTGCCATTCCAGGTTTGGACAAATACAAGGGCACATTACTACACACTGCGAATTGGGACGACAACGTCGATCTTAAAGGTCGCCATGTGGGCTTGATTGGGAATGGGTAAGTGTATTATGATTGACCTTTGATTCCGCGACTGACCACTTCAGTTCCTCTGGCATCCAAGTTCTCCCTACCATCCAACCGCACGTCAAGAAAGTTACAACCTTCATCCGCGAACCAACATGGGTCTCACCAGTCCAAGGCCTCGAACAACACGTCTTTACCGATAGCGAAAAGCTCGAATTCGCAACCAAGCCCGGCGCATTGGTTGAATACCGAAAGAACATTGAACGCGGCCTCAACGGCCAATTCGGCATCTTTCTCAAGAACACAAACGTCAACTCCGAGACAGAAGCCTACTTCCGCCAGCAGATGACTGAAAAGCTTAACAACGAATACCTACAAGAGCGCTTGATCCCGAACTGGCATGTTGGGTGCCGAAGACTGACACCAGGTGTTGGCTATCTCGAAGCACTGGGAAAACCCAATGTACAAACTGTCTACGGCGAGATCAACTCCATCACCGAACGCGGCTGCCTATGCGACGACGGCAACGAATACCCCATCGACGTGCTCATCTGCGCCACCGGGTTCAACACATCCTTCAAGCCGCGTTTCCCTGTGATAAACTCCTCCGGTGCCAACTTACAAGATGCCTGGGCTAAAGAACCACGCTCCTACTTTGGCCTCGCCGCCGCCGATTTCCCGAACTACCTCATCTTCCTTGGGCCCAATTGCCCCATTGGTAACGGTCCAGTGCTCAGTGCTATCGAAGCGCAGGCAGACTACATGTGCAAGCTCATCGATCGCTTCCAAACACACAACATCTCGACATTTGCTCCGAGAGCTGAGGCCATCGATGACTTCGTCGCCTTCAAGGACGAATACATGAAGCGTACGGTATGGAACGACGGATGTCGCTCATGGTACAAATCGCTCGGCGCTGACGGCCCTGTGACGGCGCTCTGGCCTGGCTCTACTCTACACTACATCGAGGCGCTCATGGAGCTGAGGCTAGAGGACTGGGATGTCAAATACACTGGCAACAGGTTCTCATGGCTAGGCAATGGATACTCGCAAACGGAGATTGATCCTACGGCCGACTGGGCTTTCTATGTTAGGGATAGAGATGACGATGAGCCAATATCGAGGTTGAGGAAGTTGCAGCTGATCAACAAAAGTGGGACGGTTGAGCCGAGTGAAGGGGTGAACTTTGCAGGCGGAAGGGCCAAGACGGATGCGGTGGTAGAGTCGAAGCTTTAGCGATTCTGTTGTTTCTGTATTTGTGGTGCACAGGAAGGCGTTTTCTATCAAGGTCAGGGGATTTCCAAGGTTGTATGCGTTATGGTACATCATCAGGCGATCAATTCATCTTCAAAGTTGCAAAACATCAAGCGTGCCTACTCAATGTTCTCCACCGTTCCATCACGTACCAGAGCCAATGTCGGAGAAGTCTAGCCTGCCTCGACCGAGCTCCGGAGAGGCCGCGCTGCATCCAATGTATACGGCCCTTGGATGCCATGCGAACACATGCGCACTCCGCGCAAGCAATGAAACGCGATAAACGCGAAAATAGCAAACATGTAACTGCCTTTCGCACGAACGATGAGTGAACCGGTTCAAAATAGACGAGGCGACAGCGACACCCACGCGAGCTGACTTAAGATTTGCGCTAGAGCAGCACGGCTCCCCAACCCGCGGCGCCCGTCGATTCTGCGAACCCACCAGCGAAACACTCCGACACTGCTCGCGACCAGCACCCAATTACTGCACGGGGAAACAGCGACCGAGCCTTTGGAGATCCGGAGAGTGGGAGTTCGTGTTCTTATCTGCGTGTAAGCATTATACATGATCGACAGCGTCAATGAGCGTTGCAGGCGCCTTGCGCAATAGCGTTTCCAGCTGAGGAACGACCTCGTTTGCGAAAGCGAGCAGCGCGGACACAGACGTCACAGGTAGACAAGCAGTGTGCAAACAGTTCTGTTTGACACTACGCGACTCGAAAGATGTTTCTAAACTGTCAGATCAGCTATTTCCAGCTCTCGCTCTACCACTTTTCCTTTCAAACGTGCCAGACACAGAGTATCCGCGTCACAGCTCCACGATTCAACCCTGTGGACATCTCTCGGCTAACGAGGATCGTCCTACCTCACCATCCCCAACCCAGCGCACCAACGCACAGACATTACCTATCCCGGCGCTCGGAAACGGAGACGACGCGTTTCGGTAGCTACTATTTCGATATTGGGCGGACGGATGATCGTCGGCGTAGTACAGGCCATGCGTGGGTAAGCTGTACAACTGTATGGATGTTGGGGTAGAGTGAGGGACGCCATGCCGTGTCAGGGGTGTAAGACATGCATCTTGACTGCGTCTTGACGTTTTGGACAACGGGTTAGGGTCATGGAGAGTAGAGTAGGGGTCTCCAGACGCGAGTAAGACCGGTAAGGAATGAGGAAGCGGGCGAGATGTATATATTCTGCTGCCTTTCACCATGGAGATAGATCATCATCCAGCAAGCTTCTACTTTTCTCATCACCTCAACACAGCCTTACCGACTACTTCTCTTCACTATTACTGCCGGCCAGTTCCTTTAATCCTCTACCAAATCTTCAAACAACAACGAATCAGTCAAGATGCCTACTTCCCAGATCTCCACTCCCCTCAACGGTGTCGATGCCGCTGTCGTCATTGCCGCTCTCCACAACCACGATCTCATGATCAAGACCCTCTGCCCAGCGCTCGTCAGCTACGCTTTCGAGTCCGGCGACAAGACTACTTGCGCTACCTACACCGTGACCGACAAGAAGCCCATTGGCCAGGTACGACTAGTCCTCCCTCTCCACTTTTATTCTTCCTCAACATGACACTGACTCACCACAGACAACCTACAAGCTCACCCTCACCAACGTCTCCGAGGGTGTCGACTCCCTCGTCAACGCTAAGCCCCCCGTTGGTGTCCTCACCATCAGCGGCAAGTGGCGTGTGACTGGCGGCAAGCTCAGCGAGGAGATTGACATTGACGCCAACTTCATGATGAAGAAGGTTGCTAAGAACAACGTCGAGAAGACGCACCCGGAGCAGCACATGAAGCTTTTGGAGGCTGCTCAGGCTTAGATGGGTGGTATGGTTAGATGATGGCGATGGATGAGGAAGGGATGCATTGGATGGAGCATTTGTTTGTTGTTTAAGTTTTGTGTGAGCATTTTGTTTGCGACGGGTGGGATGAGGGTGTACGCATAGCTTGGTGTTCATGTTTGCAATGAAGCATTTTATTGTTATCTATACTACGACTACTGCAAACGTGATGAATACAGACTATGTACTTTGAAAAGATATTTTTGTAGAGCTCGGCTGGATATTCTAGAGCTAAAGATATTATCTACTAGTTTTCTAGAGGCTTTCTAGCTAATATCTGCTAAGGCACAGCCCATCACACAATGCCCATAATCACACTGGTCAGGCCAGATGCTGCAACCACCACACAAGTTCCAGACCGAATTACAGAGCTCGTGATTGTGAGGGCGCCCACCGCGACAGTGAAAGGTAGCCACAGAACACCAACTTTGCATGCTCCCTTCCACGTTCGCCCAATTGTATCCAGGCGTCGCTGTGGCAACAGCTTGCACTTGCACAATTTGAGTGGCAGTCTGCGTTACGTGTTCCATGATCTGCACCACCTGTGTGGTCTGCACAACCTGCGTAGTCTGCACAACCTGAGTGACAGTCGTTTGCACGTACTGAGGGATCTGGACATACTTTGCCACAGTCTGCGTGGTAGTGGTTGCAAAGTACTGAGGGACCTGGACATACGAAGGTACCGTCTGTATCTGCGTAATCACTGCAGTCGCGTGTCGTGTAAACGTCGTGTACGTGGGAATGACCTGGTACGAGGTGCACGAGCCCAGGGTCGGAGTAGCCAAGTTTCGATTCGGCGTCTGGGTTGGAGCAGGCGAAAGTGTAGTCGTAATAGTCACCGTGGCTTGAGCACAGTGTGATTCGCCGTTGCCGCCGTGAGTTGATCCGGGAGCAGTATGGTGGCCGCTACTGTGGCCGCTACCATGACCTCCATGGTGGAATAGAGCGTCGAAAGGGTTCGGAAGACTATGAAGGGGGTTTGGGATATGGTCCAGAATATTTCTGGCGGCACCAGTAGCATCCTTGATCAGTCTGTTTGCCGTGCCCGGAATGATGGAGTCGACACCTTGCATAGCTGACTCAACCGACTGGGACACTGTATCCAAAGCAGGGGAAACGCGGTTCGCGCCTTCTTTGATCTTCCCGCCTAGAGTTTTGGCAAACTCCATGGTATTCCTGTAATGGTTGGTGAACTTAGCCATCATTCCTATGGGATCGGCAGCAGGGTCGAACGGCAACAGCGCAATGCCGTCTACACCTGCGACTGGTAGATTGGCGAGCGTGTTGTGACTTAGTTGAACGAGGTTGCTGATTGCTGGCTTGTTCAATAGTTTGGCTCCTACAGCTTCGGCCAGCTCTGCGGTGTTGGTTGCGAGTTCGCGATTGAGGTATTCGAAAGCTGTGGCCAGACTGCCGGTACTGTCGACCAAGCGAATCGTCTCTTCCATTTGACTTGCAAACTGTACTGCCCGCGCGGTCTCGACCCCCATGTCTTCTAGTTGGCTCACCAAAACTTCTTTGAGACCGCGATTCAGTGAGTTAGCGACCCGACCCGCAACTCCAGCTTCAGCCTCCTTTATGACGTCTTCAACATCGGGGAGAAATTTGTCGCAGATACTCTTAGCCAGAGCAGTTCCAAGACTGTTGGTAACGACGCTACCAATAAACGCACCAGGAACAATGCCTTGCTCCATCTCTGGAGCCGATGTGCCATTTCCATCGGTGCCGTTACCTTGTGGGTAAAGTGTTTTGCCGGCCTCTTGACCAACAACGGCGCCAGCCATGCCCCCTGCTCCATTTATGATAGCGTTGCAAAGACCCCCAGTGACGCCGTTGTCTGCGATGCCGGTCGCAGCAGGAATCAGCAGGGAGCTGATGAAGGCAGCGGCGACAAGGCCATTCTCCTTGTCGGTACGATCTTCGCGAGAAGAAACCGTGAGGTTTGAAGATGGCGCGGCCTCGGCAAGAAGACTGTGGGTGGTAATCCATATCGCGGGTAGGTTACCTAAAGATCCGTCGAGGAGGGCGTTGAAGTCGATTTGGAGATCTGGCTCGATGGGTTGTCGTGCCGTTAAGTGGCCAGCCGGTGCTATGGGTACACCTGCGGTTAAGCCGGTGAGACAGAACGTTGCCCATGCAGAGCGGTAAATGCTCTGGACCAGATGCATTTTGAAAAACTGGAGGTCTCTGTCGAACTAGGCTTTGTTGTTGTCTGTAAGTCGGATTTAGTCTTTACTGGTGATGTTAAAAGTGTATCGAAATCTGAATCTAGACACAAGCTTGGAATGAAAACATTTGAGGGGATTGCATATGCTTTTATAATAAGTACAGTCCAAGCACAGTGGAGCTATGCAGTTCGTGTGCCAAATCTCGCAATGCTGTACCGTAGTTACCATGTCCCGGTCTTCGCTCCAAACCCTAACGAAGTATTGAAGCTTTTTCATGTTTACCATGGTTCGGTGAGAATGCGAATCGGATAGGGAATCGCTATGAATTTGGAGTGGTCGTAAACGAGGACGGTAGTCGTGGGTCTCGACACGAACCTTGGAAACCATGGTTGAGGCTAGCGAATGCCAAAGTCGCGAGCCTACCCCCGCTTGCACCAATGAACATGCTCTTCACACGAGCCTGAACTATGGTCACTGAAATGCTCGGTTCAGTCTCACTGTTGTTAGAGCCTTCATCATCTTCTTGTAATACTTGAGTCATACTGAATTCAGGTTGACTACCGGTTGCGAGGCTCTCCCACAGTCGAAGATAAATCCACACTAATCATCGTTGAACCTGCCAGGTAGTCGCCACATCCAGTCGCAGTCACCCTGCCCTGAACATTGGTGTATAAAGTCAGTGTATATCTTCACACGCAGTTCGTACAGAGACACTCACAGCCGGTGTACCAGTCCAGAACCTCTGTGTAGTCACTTGTCGCTCGGAACTCTGCCAAAGATATGGGAAGGGATTCGCTGCGCGTGCTTTCATCATCACGAATCTTGCGTGTTCGGCGGAAGCAACGCGCGGGCGGCATCTCTTTTCCGCGATTTCTGACCTGTAATTCTTTGCTGTTCGTGACCTGGTTTTCCATGCCCAGTACGAGCGTGTCCAGGGATGGACAGCTAGATTGGTTTTCTAGATGCGCAAAGAAATCTTTTGCAAATAGATGAGCTTGGCGCTCGATGTCTCCATAAACATCGTCACTCTCCTCTCCGAAATTGCAGCAGTCGTGACCCCACCTTTCCCGAAGTTGAAGGGTGCGTAGCTTGGTCAATTTGCAGATGGGTGACTGTATATATGTTAGAGATGGAACGTGAAATCAGATACTGTACAGTCTTACCAAGTCTGGATCGAACCCGCCTTTGTAATTCAACATTATACCTGAGCTAAGATTGAACGCGAGTTGTTCCAAGTTTGGACATGCTAGAGATATCTCTTCCCAAAATGGTGGTTCGCTGTCATCTAAGCGCCCTCTAGTGTCCCACATGTGTATCGAGAGAACAACAAGCTGCTGTCCAACAATCGCCAGAATTTGCTTGAAGGACTCCAACGTGAAATCTATCCACCCCCTATCACTCCACTGCAAACACAGACTTTTCAATTCAGGACAGCGGCTAATCAACTCTTCGACGGCGTCATCGTCCTCTTCGTAGGGAGTATCATCGTCCGGGTCTTCCACCTCGTCGTCGTCGACTAGCTCCAGTCCTAGATGTTTCAACGATAAGTCCTGGTCGCCAAGCTCATGTACCAAATTGGAGATGAACCTTTGGCTGCAGGAACATGCCCAAAGAGTCAAATGTGTGAGCTGAGGAAACGATATAATCTTGCTGAGTCCGTATGTATCGATGCCGAGAGGGATTCCGGATATTGAAAGTTGGCGAAGCTTCTCTAGGCGCCCATACGATTCGTCTAGAGACGAAAAGGCTTCGGCGAGTCTTCGGCTAAGATCGTGTGAATACCTATCAAACTTGGTTCCAAGGTACAGTCTCTCCAGATCGTTATACTTGCCGATGTCCTCCAGGGAGTCCAGAAAGTTCTCTTCCTCCAATTCCGACCAGGTTTCTTCTGGATGGGGGAGCCAGAGGTCCGCAGTTCGCACACAGTCGAGGTATTGTAATTGAAATAGGTCCTCGAGTCTTAGGTGTACGTGTTTTAATGTGCCCATTTGTTGAAGGAAAAATTCGCGGGCTATATTCGAAGGCAACGGTAGGGTCGAGAGGAACCTATCACAATTCAGTAAAGTTCTGACATGACAGTCCGCGAGGTTATGACGAGAGCATGCCACAGGCTGGCATGTGCAGCATTCCGAAGATCGAGGACGCACCGAAAAGATTGTAGGCAGTCCGGAGGGAAATAGTCTAGTATCGCTTCTATCGCGCTACTTTGAGCAGATGTCAACCTGCCTTCACGGTCGAAGCGTCGATGCGGCTTGGTCTGGAACTCGGGAGCTTCTGCTGGGGGAAGGCTGTCCATCAACGTCAAGCTCCTTGTAGCGTCAAGATGCGCCTCGGCACCTGCGGCCATGCAATTCTCGAAGCGTGCCACTTCCGATGGATCGAGTACGTTGATGGTGACCTTCCGATACAGTCGAGGCCTGGCGAGGTCGCATAGCGCTTTCGACGTCAGACATAGGGCCTGGAGGTGCGAAGGCAAGTGGATCTGCTGGACTTAGCACATCGGCCGATGGGAGGTGTCTCAGGGTCCCCGCGCATACATAATCCAATATCAGAAGATGTACATCTGCCGGCAGCACCGGGAGGGTCGACATGGTCGCGTGCATTTGTTGAGCAGGTCGAGTGGAGGAACGACGCGTGGGCGCGTCCAACGCCGCGGGCGGGGCGGCGCGTGCTAGGCTCTTGGCGCTCAGGTACCCCCTGAGAACGGCTTGTAGGTTGCCGGCTTACCCAGGTACTTCCGCCCGAACCACAACATCCACCTTTTCACATACCGCCCATTACATTTATTATGCCGTCGCATTTGATGCACTCCCAGATTTCGTACAAGACATTGCAGCTTGATTCTTAGGAGCTAAGCTATGTACAATATTGCTCCGTGTTGAGAGTCATCAGGATCAGCCACGCATGTGACACGGCCCACGACACTACGCTGTCTTTTCTCCCCATGGCAATTTACTCCTCGGAGAGAACGTCCTTCTTCTCCTTCGGGGGCCTCATTCCACAGTACAAGCAAGTATCGGGGTATCCTGTCCATGGGCTTCCTTTGACCGGTACACCACCATCTGCCGTCCACATATTTACGGGTTGAGGATTCTGTCTCGCGCGGGGATTGACGCCGACATCGATGGTAGCGTAGAGCCCATCTTCGATAGTCTTGCCAATGAGCGAAATCTTCATCACTGGGTCGTCGCCACCCTGCTTCGCCATGTTGAAGAGCGCATCAACTGCGTTGGTGGTGATGGCTTGCTTGTTCGTGTTGTAAGGAGAAGTCTTCTCAACTTGGCCTAGGAAGTTCTGCTCGATATAGAACTGACCGACATGCGAAATCGTGCCGCCTTGAATGGTATTGTTGGGAAGAAGCTTAGCACCATGGTGGATGATGGCTAGGGTTGTCAGTATTGAGACGTTGGTAAAAGACAGGAGTGAAGCGTACTGTGGAGATGGTTCGTGCGGCCGACGTAGTGTCCTGGGATAACGGTAATGAAGGTAGCGGTGCCATTGGCGCCGGTGGGTTGCACGCCGCGAAGAGCATTGGTCGCGATAGCGGTAGCAGAACCGTCACCGTTGCCCTTCGCCTGAACACCCGTGTAGACACCAGTGGCGTTACTTCCCCACATCTCAACGTAGGCATCGGTGACAGGCTTGCAAGATGAAGTGTCGATAACGTTGACGTCCAAGTGGGTGATGGCACCCTTCTCTCCGGTCAAAAGGTCCTGGCGAACGAGCTCACCGGTGACCCCTATCAGTTTGTAAGCCAACCTGTCTCAAGAGATGCAACCTTCTCCACTTACAGTATGGACCCTCAGTGGATTCAGGGTCAAGCGTGCATGCTGCCTCGGCACCGTAGCTTTCCTCGACTTCAGCGACGTCACGACGGACGAACTCGTGTTCTTTTGCGAAACCAGCTGCAACCCGAAGCTCGTGGAGCCTTGCCTCACGCCTCTGGTGCTGCTCCCGGACCCACCCGGTCTCGACGAGATCCCTTTTACACGCCTGAACACTTCGACGGTTGGGATGATCCAAATGAGCCTGCCTCCTCAAGATCTCCTTGTTGGTGTTGCCACCAGGATGCGCGACAACACCGGTAGCCAAGAGAATGGCAGCGAGGGCTTGTGTGAGCTGAACCATGATGTCTGCAAATGCTCTGTGGACGTGAGGAGGCTCAAGGTGATCTCAAGATGCCATGTAGTCGGCCTTCTTATACTTTCCGGTTGCTGCGCCTTGGTGCGGTATTCCTGCAGGTGCTAATGACATCCTTCTGGATCTACACATCTGTGCTGTCGCTGTTCTCGTCACCGCGCAGTCTAAACTGCGTTCCCTGTTGTGTGCTACTCTCCACAGATTGTCTAGGATGAGGTCCATAATCAACATGGCTGTGATAGGCAGCGGCAATTGCTCGCTTCGGTACACGCGCCGCAGCTAGATTAGCGTTCATCTAGTGCCCGATCTTGGCGGCGGAGTGCATGCGGCATGGTAGTCTTGGTACGACTCTCCAGGACGACGTGTGGCTAATGTCGACCAGTCGTATATTAACCGGAAGTGCTGCGCGTGGTGATCGGTAGTTGAATGCGGTGTGATGCGTCCGCATAATGATGCAAATCTGGATCTATACATCTAAAAATGCACAAGCGAGCATCCCCAAGCTTGTACAGGTAAATACCTTCTGGTTCGAGGTTGGTGGAATGCTGTTTGATGCTGCATCTGAAGACAGATACAAACTCGTTGAATCTACTTAGCCAGTCTCGGTTAAGCGAGGGGAGGGCGGTCGGATTTTACTGGGGCTTACACATGTATAGTCGGGCGGCCAAGACACCATCTGGATATACTTTTGCATTGATGAAAACCGGCAGGCTCGTAAGGTGGAGCAAATGGCATGACCCGTATTTCTCAGCACCAACAATGTCTTCGAACGGGTCGGGCCTATGGAGCCGAGTGTGCGTGTCTCATGTGCCTGGATGGATGCAGATCCTGGCAGCTGCCATATGTGACATGGGACTGGAGATGTCACGTAGCTGGGAGCAGCGCTCTGTACATGGCTCGATCTTCTACCCACGTTCACCGCGGAATGATTTCCACTTGTCGTAAAGCCGGTGACATGCTTCTTACCGGGCTCTAGCAGTCGAGACCGTGAGACCGACTCCTCTTACTCCTCGGAGCACTCGCTCGAGAACAGCCACTCGGTTCCGAGAGGTGGACTGTCCTTGCGGTGTCTTCGGACGATACTCTCCCCCTCTTCGACGACATTCATTCACTCCTGAGCGCTCAAATTAGCACGTATATTGTCGAAGTTTCCGTAAGGTGATTATGGTGAGCAGACCGCGCATCGTCAGCACCCCCGTCATAGGCTATGGATATCCGGCAGCCCAAGCGGCGATATGCCACTAGCAGGAGCGTGCTTGAGGCGAGTACGCGTGATTGAGGTAGCAGTATCGGGAGCCTTGATACGCAGGTTTGGAAGGTGAGTGGCTTTCGCACAATAGAGAGCTCGGAAGACACACGTGCCAGGGGCATTGCGGGGTGCGTAAGAGCTCATCATCAGTATTGCTGCCGCAGCCGGCATAAGGCAACCAAAGAAGACAATAACGCGACTATGCTCTGCAAGAGATATTAGCAGTACAGGAACTTCCTTGCTAGGTCCTCTATCTGTGCGTAAAGCCGCTCTTGCGCGCCGGCAGAAAGTGCCTAGTCATGGCTCACCCTGCGTGGGTTTCAAGGTGTCGCTGCAAGGAAGGAGCAGCCTGCGACTCCTGAACGGAAAACACAGACCTGCTGCTCTTGGAGTTGTGGCAGTAGGTATAGTAACGTGACGTAAGCTTCGCGATTTTCTGGAGGCTGGAGCTTCGCAGTCCGGAATGTTCTCCATGAGCTAAGAACTGCGCTAGTCGCCATCCAGGTCTGTGCAAGCGACCTCGACAGCCTGGAGCCGTGCCTTCCGCACTCCTGGCCGAAACACGATCCTCGACAGCTGAAACCTACAACGCCAGGACAGCCCCGACACCAGCGTCTTGACGATGTTTGGTAGTCCTTCTCGCATGCTCACCGTGACGCGATTAGCCCAGCGCCACACCTCCGTTGCACATTGAGCGAATGGTAATGCTCATCAGCTCCGTGCCCCTGGCGGCACTCCTTATAGTATCAGCATCGCATGCCTGCGAAGTTAACTACAGTGGCGAAACGGGTTGGCGTCTGAGGGTGATGAGGAAACGACGAAACATTGCAATGCTTTTGCAAAATCAATATAGGCGTTCATGCTCGCTAGCACTAACTTTCTTTACTTGACCGTCGTCATTCCAGCTTTCTCACGCACGCATACAGCAAGATGACCACTTTTCTCAACTCTCCAAACACCCCCTCCAAACCCGCACATACATTCTACCATGACGACAGCGCATCTCGGAGCCACAAGGCAAATCTGTCTGGCGCAACTATGCTGGACTTGTTGAGTGGCCCCGAAGGATCCATCGCCGCAGCATATGAGTCTTCGAGCATGCACCAGCGTTCTTCCAGGTCAAGGCGGCCATCCCAAGCCTCGATCACCAAATCTCAATTGCGCCAGACGAACCGCACTCTGATTGAGATCATACACAATGTTCAGGCCGAGCTAGCGACACAGAGAGAGGCAATGCTCGACATGCAAACGCGAATCCTCCAGCTCGAAAGTGCCTCGCAGATATACAACCAGGACCTTGGCCCGCGTCATACAATCGCCGGCCACCGCAAACGGTCTCAAATCAGAAGCGCAGAGGGCGCTACACGCGAAACGCAGGGACGTTGGGACGCATACCAGAAAGATGTAGACATGCTTGGCCCTCCTCTTATCGCGAACGAGTTCTGGAAGTCACCTAGTCGTTTCTCTGGCTTCAACTTCAACTTCGATCTACTTGAGACGATACCGAAGTCTCTACACCCCCCTCCTCCAGATGTGGATGATGTTCCGAGTCTTTCTCCAGATGAGCAGCCAGAAACATATACGCCAGGGCTTCGCCGGATTCCCGCCAGAATTACCCGGATCAAGACATCCGATCCCACTACGATGTATCATGATGCGGTGAGCGACATCAAAGAACACGTCGTAGAGTTCGAAAAAATCAATGCCCCCATGCCTGTCAAGCTCCAGACACCGCCACGAAGTTCACGCAGCAAGTTGACATCGATGTACAGCCGGGATGATGAAATTACGGCATTACCCCGGATTCCCTTCCAGCCGGCACCAAGCACACATAACTCACATCGCAGCTTGATGGGTATCAAAAGCTTGCTATTGTACAGGACATCATCGAGGAGTCAGAAATCTGACTACCCTCCATCGGATCATCGACGTTCAGGCTCTTCTTTACGCTGTTGAGTACAGGTTGGCATCGCAGCGCAAGAGTGACGTTTGTATTGGTAGCAAGAGAACCGAAGAGAAGGGAACTATGAATTAGAGTCGAAAGGGAATAGTTTGCGATAGACGTGTACGTGTTATGAGGAATCTATTACGCTGTGTTACCATCGCCGTTAGTCTGGACCACAGCTTCCAACGCTTTCTTACAAGTTAAGTGCGCCATTCCGAAATATAGTTCAGAGAAATGCATACAATATGTCACCTGAACAGGCTCTTTCATCATGACTGTGAAGTGACAAATGCATGACCTCGTGGACGAGCAAATAGCGTGAACATGCCTCGGAGTTAAGGCGGCTTGGCATTTCTCGCGCTTTCCACCACGCAAAACGTCATTACCCGTTACATATATCATCGCGCCGCCTTCCACCTCCCCATCGACAACGACATCGCAAAGGCACACACACATCATGGCGTCCCTCTTACGGAGACCCTTCGCCATCACGGCAACATTGCGACAAGCATCGCCGAAAGCACCGCAGACCCTCACGATCCGCGCATTCCACAACACGCCACTGAAGCAGCAGTCGCACTTCTTCCGCCCCGCAAAGCCCACGGTATCGACATCGCACAATGTTTCCAAGTTCCAGCAAGCGTTCCGACGCGGATACCAGCAGGCTGCATACAACCCGGTGGCGCAGGGCGACTTGCGACAGCGCATGCTGTATGGAGCCGGCATCTTCGGTGCCACCCTTCTAGGCATCAACTTTATCTTCAACCGCGAGACCCGCGAGGACGGCGGCATGCCGCCATTCGAGCGCGAATACCTCAACGACACCTTCATGCACACTGGCCTCGGTATTGGAATGATCGGCATTGCTGCCCGCGCGCTGCACATGAACGGCTGGAGCTTCAGGCTTATGAGCGCAAACCCATGGCTGGTACTCGGAGTTGGCCTGGTTGGAAGCATTGGCACAATGTATGGCACCATGGCTACCTCGCCGTCTAAGTAAGTGTGGATATCGATATTGTGTTGTGGAGTAGACATGCTAACCCGACGCAGCTACGTCCAAAAGTACGCCCTCTGGACTGCCTTCAACGGTACTCAAGCCCTCCTCCTGTCGCCCCTCTTCTTCATGCACCCTGCCATCCTCGCTCGCGCCGGTCTCTACACTGCCGGAATGATGGGTTCAATTGCTTTCGTTGGTAAGTTGTGGCCCGTACGAAGTGCATGGAAGATACACACACTGACTTTTTATTTCCAGGTGCGACCGCAAAGACAGACAAGTACCTCTACCTAGGCGCACCGCTTTTGGGCGGCGTGGCCATTGTGGCGCTTTCTGGCCTCGCTCCACTCGTCATTCCCGCCACCGCTGCTCGCACACTTATGTTCACCGAGAACATCTGGCTATATGGAGGTCTTGCAGTATTTGGTCAGGCTCTTTCCCCTTGTATCAATTGCCTGTAAGACATACACTGACCGTTTTACTAGGAGGCTTCACGCTCTACGACGTGCAGAAGGTGCTGAACCATGCGCGCCAGGCCGAGCGCGGCTTGATCCCCAAGGATCCCGTCAACGAGTCCATCTCGCTCGAGCTGGACTTCATCAACATCTTCGTCCGCATGGTACAGATTCTGGGCATGAGCCAGAACAGGAGGAAATAAACATCTTGGAATAATGGCATAGGGAAGCCTGCAGGTTACTTAGGAGACTTGCTCGTTCTTCATCTTCGTTGAATATGCTATGAGTTTTGGCTATAGCTGTATATAACTCCTCTCTTTGGGCTTTTTGCGCTGATACATACCACAAATGAGCAAAAACAGTTGAAATCACTCCCTCATATACGTCTTTCCGATTTACTAGTCGAAGGCGGTCCGTCGCGCTGTATCTGTAATTATGCCCGATTATCTGTCACCCTGTACCACGGTAAGCAGTTGAAGCTTCCGTTGGCTTATCTTCTGCCTCCTCAGCTATAATTGGGTTGGTAGCTTGCTGCTACTGCAGCTGTAATCCCATTGCAGAGCGCTATCAACTTGTCCCGATCTTCCCATCTGGGTAGTTCAGGCGCCAACTTCAGCCATTGGCCCACAGCATCTGTGAGGCGTCCTCGGTGGTCTTCTGTAGCGATATGAGCAACGCCAGTTGCAGGATCATCGGGATTTTGAGGAATGAGAGCTGCACCGGCACGAATCATCATCATCGTTACTTCAGCATCATCCACAGCACGGAAACTCTTCCTAGTGACCATGTGCTTGGATTCCATCCATGCGACCCAGCAAGTTTTCGTATCATCCCCAGACAGTTCTATACTGTCGTTTGGATCGCTGCCAGCGCGGATAAGAAGATCGATCATACCCGGATAACATGCATACTCGTCTTGATATACAACGCTTGTAGCCAACAGTGGACTCAGAAAAGCGTGATAGAGAAGGCTGTATCCCGGACTTTCTTGCCCGCTTCTCAGCTTCCGGAGGTCGTTGAAACTTTTGAGGTCGTGTCTTTGGGCGAAAGTTGTGAAGCCGATTTCTATTGCTAGTAGAATAGCATTTGTATCCAGTGACAGATCGGACACAGGGGATAGATCTGAGTTCTTGTAGTTTGTTTCATGTAGAATCGCAAAAGCGAAACGGCTAAGTAAGCGGGACATGTGCGAAGGCGAATTCTGTTCCACCTCCTGCGCATAAGCAACGGCAGTCCAGAAAGCCCTATCCTTCCCCGTGATGCTTCCCAGTTCGCTGTTGTACAGGGTGTAGCAGGACATATATGCCAAAACCGTGCTGGCGTCAAAAGCGTGGTCACTGATGTGCAGGCAATCAATGTCCCAAATATTCGGAGTACTGAGGAACTCAAACACGGTACGGTGCATGAAATCGACGTAAGGATCCTTGCTCATAAAGGACTTGTAGACCTCCAGGAGTCCTCTACATCGACTACGCAAACGGCCTTCGAACATCGTAGTTCTGGATCTCTTTTCATCGAGATTAGGTTCTGTGAAATCTTCCATTGCGCGTGTCTCCATGTTCTTTTCATAAGCCCAGGCTAAACTAACGGCTGATGTCTTGTCTTCGATTTGTAGTGAGCGATGGATGTAACAAATTCGCAGAAGTCGCGCAGCTTGTTGAAGGTAGCGAGTAGGGAGGCCGTTGAGTATGTGGCGGAAGAGACTTTCGAGTTCCGGTGGTAATTCCTCAACGCGACGTCGTATTTCCTCTACGCTGTCGTAGGCCTCAAACCCCTCAAGGAGCGTGCGGCACGCAAGCACGACCCATAAGAATACACCATCTGCTTTGTTCTGTATGTATTCTATCAGCTCTTGGACGATTTCGTGGCTTACGAACTTGTACTCTGCGACATAGGAGTGTGACCTCACAGTGTCGTTGATGTACAGTTCGATGTCCGGTCTCGTTATATCCTGAAGTCTCAGCTGCGGCGCAGAGGAGAAAGCTGCGATGCATGTATCAATGGGCCTGCTTGAAACTAGGAGCTTGATGTTTGCGCTGGTTGCGAGGCTTTTCACAAAGGATATACCGTCTCGTTCGTTGCCCGTGAACTCATCGAGACCATCGATGAAGAAGGCGAAAGCTCCGTTCGTTGATATAGCGCCTAAATTTTCGAATGCGGTCTCCATCTCGGTGTTCGACAACACTTTTAAGTCGCTAGTGCGATTTTGCGCTTCTTGCCACATATGCGGGAGTACTGCAGGTATCAGTTTTGGGTTCTGCCCGAGAACATGATATAGCAATCCCCGGGCAAGTCCTTCTTGTGAGCTTTGCTCTACAGATCCGATATTCCACAAGAAGAATGAGGCCATTGTCAATGTTCTGTGACCTGCCCACGAGCGTAGTGACGACATGGTCTCGGGGTGATTGTACAGGAATTTCTAATTTGATCATAACATTAGTACACTATTCGCACGAACTTCATGCTTAAATATTGCTCACCATCAACGTCGATTTACCGCTGCCCGGTTTACCATGTATCCAATAGATATCGCGTCCAAATCGTAGCCATTTTCCCAAGTCATCCCAAATGACCCCAGATGCAGGCGGTTTGATGGCCCATTCGTAGGTGTTGGAGTGAGTTGCGGCGATGTTGTTTCTTCTATCGTCGATTAAGCGAAACCAAAGTCGGTCCAGAATCCTTTTTGTACATTTTTCATCGAATGCCTTCTTTTCGTCGCCCACGAGCTTGCTCTTGTTCACTACGTAAGAATCGATACGCCTATCCAAGTTGCAATCGCTGTTCAAAGCTTGTGTTTCATGCTTCTGTACAGTGTGGCCAAACGCATTGTCCAGCCGGCGTGGGACCACTTGATTGATGTCTGTGATCAGATCCGATAACTTGGAAATAAGGCTTTCAAATTGTTCCTTGTCTTTGATGACCCATTTTATCCTACTGAAACTGGAGGATTTGCTTTTGCAATCTTTGCTTAAAGACTAAAGAGAGTCTCCACCTTGACCAAACTGAGAATTCGACGATTTGAGAAGGGGTCGGAAGTTGAGCAACCTTTTGCGTAAGCTTGTCCGCGGTCGATCAGTCACAGCCGCTGAGACATCCGTTACGTCGTCAGCTGATCTCAGACCATAACGTTGTTCCAGTACGTCTCCGTCTTGCAGAAGCCCGAGAATGCAGCCAAGACCTTGCTGCACAAGACATCGGAGGTCTGGGTCGTCCAGTCGCGTATCGTACCCATCGACATCGTGTAACTTCAGTCGTTCTGCCCATTGGAGCAACAGCGTCTTTTGGAAGTTAAGCCTTGTTTTGAGTAGTGTGTAATCTTTCTCCATGCATTTGGCCGCTCCAATCTGCGAGAGGAGCGTCACACAGTCTTCGAAGACCCCAATGAGCGCAAGCGTGCCAACAGCAAGGCCGGCAGTCTCCATGGCGGCTGAAGAATCAGTGTAATTTCAGCCACACCTATGCATTCTAAACATGCGCTTTAAATCGTCAGTATTATAACGCAAAGTATGGTAGAAATAACTTCAACGAACGTTCAAGACGATTTCAATGTTTGGATGCGACTGACGCTCCAGTGTTCGTGCATCACACATGAAGGCAACTTCTCAACAGGGCGCTCGAGCGGTCGTGTGCGAACATGTATGGGGCAAAGTCGTACTGGAGCTCAGCTGAGTCTTCGAGGCTGTGTACTGGAAGTTTCTTCATGTGTGTGTGTGGAAGGCTGAGTGTGCATGCCCCAGCGACTGCACGCGACGCGGCCTTCAATGACTGGTTGCACATCGCAACACCAAGTACGCCACTTACCGCAGCACCACGGAAGGCGTTTCTGCCTTGCCGGAAGACCAAGCTGTGCGGTCAGGCAAGATAGCTACGCCCCGTTCGCTGCTTACACTCTATCTGCTCCTATGCACCAGCGGCTACAGGAGGCTGTGCCGTCGCAAATGCACTTGCGACAGCCTGATTACCTAGGTACCTAGGTACAAAATGGGTACGCCTTGAGACGCATTTTCAATCGAAGAAGTCGTCATATATCCCGAGGAGATCTATAGAGTGAGTGCGTCTCAGCAGAGATAAAGCGTTAGACTAAGCAATTTGGCAGCTTGCAGTTCTCCAACGCAATCTCCGCACCTTGGCATTACCTAGGTCGCGATGGAGAAATCCAGATTTGCATCAATGAGCTCATCTGTGGCGCCACATTAGTAAGCTGTGGCTTGCACACCAAAATCCATCAGCCACCTCGCGCTGCCAATGTGGTTCACGCATAGCATCACATCAGCATCAGGCAGTATAATCAGAAAGCAGGCACATTCCACTGGAAAAACAACATCTCGACCCCCACCACCGTGCCACTCTACCCGTAAACTTGGCAGGCTTCGGTATACCTTGTCAGGCAAACGCCGCGATCGGACCATTGCTACTCCGACATGACTCGAAACCAAACAAGGCCTCCGGTACTGTATCCACCCAATTACAGTAGTCGGATCTGGGCGATCTTGGTACTGACCACGTGCGGAAGGGAAGAGTGCATGAGGCTCTGCTCCGTTCTACGGTGGAGCATGCGCAGGGCGAATGTGGAGAGGATGAAGCACATGACGTGGAATGCGCGAGAGGAATTATGCATCGTTAGTAATAGCGATTGAGCATGGCACACATCGTCCAGAAAGCATAAGGAAGTGAAGGAATTATTGTTGTTCATGTTCTTATTCATTCATCGTATCTCATGGTCATATGGACCTGTTTGGTATCATCATTGTTGGTATCAGCCAGCGGCTCAACCGCTCAACTTGCTCTGCACTGCAGACAAGATCCGGTGGAAGAGCATCCTCAAGCCTTCTCGTTGTGGTTGGAGCCGTCAACGACCTCAACGGCCTTGACACCATCCTTCTCGCTGTGCATGCTGCCAGACTCGATGTCCTTGACGGGCTCAATGTTGGCACCGATAGGACCAGCCTCCTCGAAGTGACGACCCTTCTTCTCAGGGCCAAGAGCAGTAGTGACAGCAATACCGAGAGCGATGATTGCAGTCGCAACAGCCATGACTGGTCCGTAAGCGGGAGACTGCTCGCCCTTTGCAGTGCTGATCATAGTGGCCTCGGCGACGGCGTTGACGATCTGAGCGGAGGGCGAGGAAATCATGTTTCCGAGTTGGTAGGTGATACCGACGAAAGAGGATCGGAAAGCAGGTGGTGACAGCTCGCTCAAGTGGATGGGAATGACACCCCAAGCACCCTGGACGAAGAATTGGATCATGAAGCCAGATGCAGATAGACCACGCTCAGTGGTGGGGAGGACCCAGGCAGGGATAAGGCAAGCGGAGATCAAGGCAGCGCAGACGATCATGCGGCGACGACCGAACCATTGCGAGGTGTATCCAAGAATGGTACCACCGACACAGGCACCGGTCTTCATCAGGATGGAAGCACGGGTAGCACCTGCGGGGCTGAGATGCTTTTGCTCTTTCATGAAAGTAGTGTAGCTGTCTTGGCTCGTGTGGGAGTAGTAGTTGAACTGAGCGATGTTAGCGGCAGTTCATCAACTTAGAAGCGGCTTGTCATACCCAAGTCATGAGGATGATGCAGTAGACACACATCTTCCACTCCTTGCGAAGCATCTGCTTTGTCTCGGCCCAGAAGGCACCGGGCGCCTTCTTGTGTCCAGCCTTCTTTGCCTCTAGGAACTGCTTCGATTCAGGGAAGCATACGCGGATGAGACCGACAGCGATCGAGAAACCGGCGCCGACCCAGAAGACGGTCTTCCAGGTGTTTGTCGCACCACCGACACCCAAGTTGGCGCAAGCTGCGAGCACATAACCGAATGAGTAACCTTGCTGTAGGATACCACTCATAAGACCACGGGCGTTGACCCTGCGAATGTCAGTATGGGACTTCCATGTAATTAACTCAGATGTACTTACGGGCAGTTCTCAAGCGCCATGGAGATGGCGTTTCCGTAGACACCTCCCATGAAGAGACCGAAGAGACTCCGTACAGCCAAGAATTGCTGGAAAGTTCCAGCGTAGATGGTAGCAACCTGGAGAAGACCCAAGATGATCATGTTAAGAACCATGGGCCACTTTCGACCGAACTTATCGCCCGCCACGCCAAACCTAAAAATGGATCAGTATTTGTCTCACATACAGTTCGTACATGGGTATTACTAACATAGCAGCACCGACGGAGCGGAGAAGCAATGTCAGGGTGATGGCCGTCGAGATAGCAGTGTTTGAGGTGTCGTAGTAGTCGGCAAGCTTGGTAGTCTGAATTGACAGCGCGTGGAAGTCAAAGGCATCGGCAGTCCATGCGAGGAATCCGACAAGGAAGTACAGCCAATCCTTCAATCTGCAGAGGTAGAGGTACGAAGTCAGTATATGTCTCACATGCACTTCGTACAGTCAGAACTTACCCGAGTTGAGCGAACAGGCTGATAGGATTCTTGAGAGGCTCTGGCTTCTGCCACTCGCAGTGCTCCTCGCCGTAGTCATTGCGAACGACTACACGTTGGTCCCAAGTGAAGAGATCCTTGAGACTCTGTTTGGCGGTGGGGATGATACCCTTCGCCAATGGGTCTGCTGGGCGGTTGGTGCTCGCCATGGTGCTGATGGTAACTTGAATTGAGAAGGTAAGAAGACTGCCCTGTAGATGTAGGCGCAAGTCCGATCGCACTGCTGATTTCAAGATCGAGCGCGGGGGAGCTCAATATATACCCGCAGTCATCTTGGCTGACCAGAACGCCTCGTAACGATACTATCAACGCCCATGTCAGTCAGCCGCTGAGTCTTGATGCGAGCCAAGTTCTGCCAAGTCCGTCCGTGCAGTTCGATTTGCAGTGAATGTAACCATCTCCGGTCCGCCAAGAGCGCTATTTTGCACTAAGCCTTCCGGTGGGCCAAGCTAGCGCTTGTGCGCAAGTGACAAAACAGAACATGTCCCGGGGTCGGATCGGACGTATCAGTGCGTTCTCTCAGAGCGGAGGAAAGAAGTGGGTGTGACGATCCTACGACGCCGTTGACATCTTCCCCATGGGGTCGCCCTTTCGATTTCCCGCAAACGTGGTAACTTTCCGACTACAGATTGCGCGACCACACCACACATACTTCGTTGATATGCGTAGTAGCACCGAAAACCGTTCTGTGCTTGTGTCCGACCAAGCTCCGCAAGCGCTGGCGAAGCTTCCTCGCGAGACTTGCTCGCAAAGAAGCTTCGAGCCAGTGAAGCAGCCACAAAACTTGGCGACTGACCCCGCAGCGACGAGCTGTGCCGCCGCGGCTGCCGAAGCTTTTCTCGCCTCGTTGTAAGCCAAGATGGAGAACGGCACATACGACGGCCAAGATGCTTCGTCGTCAGCCGAGCGCCCTTGAGTGGGCTTCTTTTAACACCCATCCTTTGTTCATAGAGGCCCGTGGCAACGTCCCAACACCGCGCCTTCAGCTATTGTTAGTGATCGGACAATACGCATCCGGTCAAACTGGTGGTCTGGACTGTTTTTGGTGTTATGTGCGGACTAAGCACTGGTGCAAGGCCCGATGGTGCGGCTTGCGGTCCCTGGGTGGTTGGATGTTTCGCGCACGCGGCAGAGTGAACAGCAAGCGCGCACGAGACATGGAGTGTGAGCGGGGACAATCCGGTCTTGGCGGTAGAGGTGTGCTGGCTAACATGACCTGACCTCAACCTTGCTGGTGCGCGAAAAGACCAAATATGGTTCGGTAGATGCTCAGGATTGGGTGGATGAAGGAGAGATGTGGGGATGACGGCGGAGGCGATAACGTTTGGACGGGGGAAGGCCCCCCGTGTCCTCGCTAAATCCTTCACACCAAGACTCCGAGTTCAAACGCCGAAACGACTACAATTACTCGTGTGTACTCTTGGACGTGGTAACAATTGCATAATATCGTATCCACAGTTGTGGCCTGAGGAAGGGCATGCGCCCACGGAGGCCACATTTCTTCACGGCTTCCGGTTCGAGCCCCGAGACTTTGGCTATACGCGCCGAGATTGTGCCTGATTGAAATCCTTAGCAATAGTTCAATTCGGTATGAACTACCACCATCTAGCCGAAGATTTGCATAGCTCGAACGGGTGCAAGCCACAACCCCATCTTCACCGGAAGACCTACAATGGGTAACCTTCTCACGCCATAAGGGTCTTTCTAATTTTGAAACGGATGGATTGACTTGCGCTCTAGCTAGATCACCCACTTGCGCATGCATCATGCATTCTACTCTTCTAACTTGGCACAGATCTAGGCACAGCGGGGATATGGGGAGGCGAAAATACCGAACACGGTCCTGGCAGCGACACCAATCACGCGTCGTGCGAATCCACCCGGTAGCTTCTGGCCCTGCATAATTGCGGCTCTTAGTTCGGATGTGGCAACTGCTTTTGACCGCGGCCGCAAATCCATGCGTCTACGCGGGATGTAGATCGTT